ATTTTAGATTTATAATGAAATAATATAGATTTGCCGTAAGATCTCTGGCATGAGCACGAGAGTCAGAAATTGTGAGTGTCACACCAGATGCGTCAGAGTTGGCAACCCTGGATTCCTGTATATATATGTAAGTTTACTCATTGAGATAATTTACTTGTTTACTCATCCTGACTACTGAATACAGGTCAACTTTTATATTTTTAAATCTTAGTTGGTGCTGTATTGCTAGGTAGTGTTTATATCATACACATATGCATGACACAAACAATTATCATTAAAAGATTATTGATGACAGAAATCATTAATATTAGCAATACAAAGTATCAGAGGATTGATAAATCCCTTGTGTTGTGGTCCGGGGTGGAATCGGCGAGCCTGTGCAGCTCTAGTGAATAGCTGCACAGTGAATAGCTGTGTTGCCTGCTTTGGTTTTAGCAATCACCTCTGAGCAAAGAAGGTGTACGTTCCAAAAACAGCCAATGCAAAAATGGGAGAAAATAGGCAGCCAAATTGGAAAAACAGAGAGGAGAGTGAGAAGTGATGGGGGTTAGAGTGAGGCTATAAAACTTCCTGGAAAGCTAAAGGGAACAGATGCAATTAGGCAGGTTGGCGTCTGTTTTTATTTGTCGAGGGACTGGGTCAAGGAACCCAAGTAACCTCGTAAATTTGAATTCTTATTGCACTCATGTCTCCCATTCACTAGGTGGCTCAAAAAACCCCTTGGGGAGGGGTTCACCGGGGGGGCCCGGTGGCCGCTTCCCTGGGAATCAGCAGCAAACGATGCAATTAGCGGTGCGTTAAAGCGCAGAAACGCATCACCTGGATCTTTCACTGGAGAGTATCTGGCAGCAGGAAAGAGCAGAGAAGCAGATGCAAAACAAAGACTCTGCTTATTAATAAGCCGTGTGAGAAGCAAGGCACCCTTATTGTCAAGCAGCTTGCTGTTAGATAACGTTTATGCTAAACATGGCCTACAGCACCAGTAATGTTAACAGGGGCTTACAAGGCCGCCCTTTGTTGAAGCAGGATGGGTGTGGGTGTGTGTGAGCTTCAGTGTCCAGCAATTTCTGTTTAATATTATGCATACATATCGAATTTTAGTTTTAAAATAATGTCAAATTGTGAATTGCGTACAGCTCAAAGTAATGAGCTTTATGACTAAAATATTAGTTTCCGAATACATGAATCTCACAAGGGACAGAAATGCAAAATCTATTTATTTATTTATTGCTGAATAGAGAACTTCTGATGCTGGAAAAATAAAATAAGTCAGCTCAGTGCCATTTGTAAGATAAAAAAGCAGAAAAGGTTTTGGTTTACAAATGCAGCTGTAGCAAACCCATAACCGGACGTATATTCTGAATCAACTCCTAAAAGTGTTTGTATAAGTGAAAAAACATCCTATTTTTCAAGGCACTGCATCAGATTTACAGTCGAAGCATTTTCTCTTGCTGTTTTCCAAAGTCATCATAGTCAGGACTATGCAGCGTGTGTCGAACAAATAACCCAATAATATTCTCTGGTGCAGGGGGGTGGAACTAACATGGCCTCAGCCAGTTACGTTTGGGCTAAAATGAATGATAAACAGCTGATGGGGTTTCAGGTCGAGGTACACTGAAAGACTGAAACACTGATCCATGGTAGTCCTTAAATAAGTGTCATATATTATCCTGACATCAGGCCCAGCCTCTGGCACAATTATTTCAGAATGAGAGGGATCGAACATCACTGCCTCATTCCTCTTTCCTTGTAACAAAGTAAAAACCATTTTTATCTGCTGCCAAGGAGAGAGTTCACAGGCCATTAGGCTGGAAGACGGAAGGAGCACCTCCTGCGATCTGTTTTGCCAAAGACCACAATAAGAATGCTACAGAGAAGGATAGAGTAGTGTTGGCTGATTCTTTTTTTATCCTCAAAATCATGCCTGCTTTCTTGACAAATGTGTAGTAAGTTTTAGTTGAAACATTTCTTAAACTATGCACTGCGACCAAGCGGAATTAATCACCCATACCTAAGGCCCATGTGCTTGACTCCTACACAGTTCCTGACAGTAGTTTATGGGACATTTTTGGACAAATTACCAAGCATACTGGCTAAAAATCTCCTCAGTACATCAGTATGTTTTTACCAAGATTAATCTGACAAAGGCCATGGTAAAAACACAATGACAGGACTTTCTTTGGCAAAACCAGGATCACTTTATCTTTAGCTCTTACTGCTGAGTTTTATAACTCAAAAATACGTTAATAAGTTAAGCAGGAACAAACACGATAACCATACAAGGCTTCTGTCTTCTTGAATGCAGATCTTTCTGACCAAGACGACCAGGCCTTGTGTGACATTAGCAGAACGCCTCTGAGGGCGACTGGCACCCACCTGCTCGTGGTACTCAATGCCCATGCTGAGCGTGTTGATGAGGATGGCGATCATGATGCCCCGGCCGAAGTATTTGCTGTCCACAATTTTGCGGAAAGTCTCACACACGAGCCTCCAGAAAAGTAGCACTTTTCTTGCCCGTAGACCCAACATCATTCTGGTAGACCCCCTTTTCTGGTTATGGTCCCGGCGGTCACGATAGTGCATGTCTTGAGTGAACTCGTATATGCCCTCGCTGTCCGAGTCGGCGGTCTCATTCCCTTCTGTGCCTTCTGAGTCCAGACTTGTGGATTTTAGGCAGTAAGGGCAGCTCTCGGGGTCAAAGGTCAGATTGGTGTCCTGGCTGATGCCGCAGTTGACTGTAGCCAGCTTGCAGGAGACCCTTCCTGCACAAGGTAATAAATGGAAAATCAGTTATTTAAAGTCAAGCTCTCAGCTATTTTGAAGAATCAATAAAACTGCGTTAATTGGCTTCTGTGGTTCCCTAGATAGATAAACAGCATGAAAAAATCATTATTGACCAGGGCATTTTAAATCCAGTGAACTGAAAACTGTTAGGCATTTTCAAACCAAATAACCAGATAGATCACTTTGATGTGGTCTGACAGTACATTTAGTCTAATTCATTCTGCATTTCATGCATACTCATTACCTTCATTATATTTGGGTTCTTTACTATAAAATGTTATCTATTGCAAATGATTTATAATTTCAGGCAGTGATTCCTACAAATATAACACATTATAGAAATAATATTAAACTTTCAGTTGAATTCCCGTTGACACTGATGATGACAGTCACCAACTGATGCAACACTGTATTCAGTCACTGGTTCTGATTGGATGCCCTTTGTCATGGGGCAGACACCTGTTGTCTTTCATTCACTATCCATTTAGACTATTGTTACCCTAAACTGAGGCGCATTAGTAAGTGCTACTATTGGTTGACTGCGTGTTAAGTGCTTTGGGCCAACCACTTTGGGATTATATAAAAATAAATTGAATTGAAGTGGATGTGATTTACAGAAATCCCAACCACCATGGGTTTCGAAGCTTTATTGGTTCCATCCCTATTAATGATTTGTTTCTGTAACTTGGGATATTTACCTATGGGACTGTGTGCCTCTATGAGACACTGTGTACTGTTTACAGATGGAGGTGGGATGTTGAGGTTGGTAACTGTGAAGGTACCACAGCTACTGGTCATAGGATCGACGGGCATCATCTCCCTTAGATGCTCCTGAGGAGAGGAGGGGTGCAGGGTAGGATAGTTTTTTGGAGCTACCGGCAAGGCTCCAGGCACAGAGTTCCTCTTGAAGCCCTGCAGCGAAGGGGCTGGGGCAGAGGACGCAGAACAGAGAACGGGTTCGAGGTGGCAGTCAGCGTGGTAGATACTGTGAACCGAACCGGAACTGCTGCCCATGGGAGGGGCAGGTGTGGTGGAGGTGGGAAGGGTTGAGCTGGGAGGCAGGGGCAGGGGAGCCGGTGAGGCGAGGCGTCTCCCGCCATTGGTCACAGATCCACTCTCCACATCCCGGGGCTCCAGGCTGGCTCTGTCAGCCCTCACGCTGCCATTGCCCAAGTGGTAGTGGTGATGGTGGTGGTGGTGGTGGTGCACCAGGTGGTGGATGGAGCCCGGTTGCCTTGTGCGACGGCGTCTTTTATGCTGGGGGGGCTCCGGGGCGGGGGAGGTGCAGACCCGTAGCCCCGCCCGGCGTGCGGCGGCCCGGGAGAGGTGGGCCAGCTGCCGGCTGCCCTTTCTCACCACGTGGACGAGGTACTTGAGCAGCTCGTCGTAGCAGCTGCCCGGCTCTGAGAAGCTGGCCAAGGTGCTGGCGTTGGACATGAAGCGAACGCGCTGCTCCTTCATCAGCTGGCTCTCCCGCTGCTTGGTCTCTGAGAATTGGGTGGCAATGACGACCAGGCACAGGTTTATCATGAAGAAGGAGCCCACCTGAGCAGGGAAAGAGGAAGCCACAGCCCTGTTTAAGTCATCGCCAGTTTATTTATATAGTCATACATATCACAACTGTGCTCACGTCTAACAGATCTGTTAAGGTAGTGTTTCCCAACCCAGTCCTCGGGAAACCCCGGACAGTCCACATTTTTGCTCCATCCCAGCTCCCAGCCAATCAGGAACACTGAATACCTGGTACAGGTGAACTGGGAGCTGAGAGAAAGCAAAAACGTGGACTGTCCGGGGTTCCCCGAGGACTGGGTTGGGAAACACTGTGTTATGGCACTGAATCAGCATACAAAAGTTGACACATCCCAAAAATGAAGAGTGTGACATTGATGGGAGACTTAGAAATTTCAAGAAAAATCTTTTCAAGGAAGAATCCTCCAAGCTTATTAAGCTATCAATTTAACAAACAGACTGTAGGAACAGTTTAGCATTCCTCATCATGTTGAATGTATTTGGCATTGCCAGTAAAAGCTCTCACCTCTGCTACATACCGCCTCTGAAACTGTAAGCAGTGTAAGCTGTGGTAAGTTATAACTCAAATAATCGAAGCCAACTTCTCTGCAAGAATTTCAGCCACTGTCCCAGTGCAGCTTTCCTTCATCTTATCCTACTGAATAGCCAGACACCAACTCCACCCCCTTTACTGGTAGGGAGTAATCTCATGCCCGGGGTAGAATACTACACAACCAGTGTTTCTCAAACCAGTCCGCAGGGACCCACAGACAGTCCACGTTTTTGGTCCCTCCGAGCTCCCTGCCAGACAATCCACGTTTTTGTGGACACTGTGGCAGTGAGCTTGGAGGGAGCAAAAACAGGGACCGACTGTGGGTCTCCAAGGACCGGACTGGGAAACACTGCAGTATACAATTAAAGTAGAACCAAAAAATATTCTATTCTATTCTATTCAGTTTATTTTCTTATAGCACCTTTTATAACAGTCGCCTCAAGGCACTTTACATATAGGCGAATATAGTAAAATATAATGCGATTCACTAGCAACTTGAAAATACGAATCTGCCTATGTTTGTGATCTGATGCTCATTATACATGGACCTTTTCACCTGGGGCTTAAGGCTTGGCCTGCAAGTGCTACAGTACTTACTATGATCAGGAGGATGAAGTAGATAAAATTGTAGAAGGAGTGTGCATCCATCACAAAGTACATAATATCAACCCATCCCTCCAGAGTGATCACCTTCAAAAAGAGAGCAAGACATGAAGACGGAGTAAGCTTTCACAAAAAAATTATATCTCCTTTACACCAAGAAACGGAACATGCAGACGTGACTGTTTCTTAGGTTGGCAAAGGGAGTGTTTCAGCTGATCCTGTGATAGCGGCATGTTTACAGGCCCTGCAGTACAGCTGAGATTCTGCCCCAGCTGCTAAGTGGCTAGTAAACCCATCGTGGCATTAAGAGAGGCTAAGGAGCTGCTTCTGCCTCAAGTGCATTTGTATCTGCAACTGATGGGCAGGGAGAGGGGGAGGGGCAGACTTAAAGAGAAAAAAGAAACATTTCTTTTTCTGTAATTTACAAGATGTTACTGAGTGTGAAACCAAGATGAAAAGCTGTCAGACAGCTAATTGATTTCAGAGGCAGCGAATTAAGCGCAGAGTGAGGGGAGCAGGCTATTGGCAGCTCGCAGCTGCGAGATTAAGTACTCACGTACCTCCCAGTACTCAGGACATGACAGCTTTAGAAACAAATTTCAGTTTTGAGCTTCCCGAAGGGGAAACAAGCAATGCAAACGCATTACCCTTAAATGCAGTAATTACAGCTAACAATATGTCTTAAAATTTGGAAAAGAAAGCCTAATGCTTTAATCATACATGCCATAGCTGATTTATTTTTATTTTTGTATTTGATCTGTTAGCAGCTGCATGGCAGAACAACTTCCATATCCAATTTAAATGCCGATAAGAAGAAAGATAATTAAGTGATATTTAGTCGCTAATAGAACATGAAAATTAAAAGACATGCATATGTCACAGAGCAATTATTAAAATTATATTTGGAGACAATCAGCATCTTGTCTTGGCTTTCGCCATGCAGGCAGTCACATGGCGTGTGAATTCACCTCCCTCCCTGTGCCTCGGGCACTGCTAAGCATTGGGTCGAACTGGAACCGCCAGCAGTCTGCCGGGCCTCTCCAGCTAGATCGCCATGGTTACCATGAAGATGGTTTGTGACTGTTCTGTGGGAGCCTGACATTGTTTTACAGCGCGTCTTCAGATTTGCACCAGCATTAGAAAATGTGTCTATAAATGCCGTACGAGGCTGAGAAGGAAAAGAGCCAGGTCTTTAAATTCATTCATGTGCTGCTCAAGCTAAACACTGTAGCAGACCCAGCAGGGCAGATGCGTTATCATGATCCGTTCCAAGTGAACGAGCGGACCCCGGGCTAAAAACGCACATATTTAAAAAGATCACAGTGACTCAGGGGCCTAATGTAATGTCATTTAATCATACCACAGCACTCTGTCACCTTGTAGCCTTATTAATACCACTAAAACTACAAACAGAAAGGTGATTTAACATGTTCATGTTCCAGAATGCCACCAACAGAACTTCACTTCCTTCTGGTTTCACTGGTACAGGTTGCTTGCATTGGACACCAGTTTTCTAATGCCTGATCATTTTCTTGGCTTCACAGCTTACTCTAATGCTCCCTGCATTACGGAATACGGACGTCTCTTCTTCCCCACGTTACTCCTTGATTCGCTAGGCTGACATCATCCTCGGGACACTTCCTCGTGACATATTAGTAATTTCCAGAGCTAATGTCACTGGACTGCTTGCCAAATGCATCTAAAAAATACTCTTCATCTAATAAGACATCTTGCAGGCTGAAAATAATTTATTCAAGGTGCTGTCTGCTTAAAGACAAGAGTGGTTTGGAAAGAGTAACCAGCATAATATTAATTATCTCGTTGTAATCAGTGACTGTTTTTCCATATATCTTTTTTTATGCCGATAATGCGATTTTTATAGTAATCACTAGTGTATTTCCACAGTTGATATCAATGTTTTTACTACTAATAAGAGGCAGAGACATATGCACAACAAAAATGAATATTGTTGCTCCATTTATACTAAATAGCAGTGTCTGGAAAACACAAGGATAATATTTTACTACAGAAACAATTAATTAGTGGCAAATAATGCCAGGCACTATAAGTGATTATTTTTCATTAGAGAAGAATTAAAAAAATTAAGGGAAGTTGATTCGCTTCAGCGACAGAACCAACTGCTACACAGTTAAAACAGTCGGAGAACAGTGGTTTCTGTGGGGCGCTACAACTGCAAACAAGACTTAATTCTTAAGCTCAGCTCAGATTTTTATTCTGTCACATTAATGTTCATGGTTGCACAGCTTGAAAGCCAAAGTCAGCATGAATTAAGTAAAACCCTTTGATTTTTTTAAAGCAAAACTGACCATGGCATATATTGTGATCTGTCATCTGGAAGTAGACAACAAGCATTGTTTTATTCAAGAATAAAGTTATCACTCTGTAAATTACCCATGACTAATAAATATAATTTTGTTAGTGCACTGGAGTTAATGATGATTGAAGATAAAATCCTCTGAATTCCATTCATTTTCTAGTTATTGATTATATCTGAATGATTTTCAGTTAATGTGTCATTTTTTTGACACAATATCAATAACTCTTAAGATCAATAACGCCTTTTAAAATCTGTAATAAAAACTGGAACCTTAGACATTTTGAAGAGAGCCAGAGCTCCCATTATCCATTTAAACATCTCTTTAAGAGACCAGATGAAAGGAAGCACTCAAAAAGATCCCCTGTTTGCCATCCAATGATAAAATTGATCAGACATTAAAACAAAAAACCTTTAATAACTTCTTAGATAATTGTCTATATGCATGCGAGACCACGAACAGGAGTAAATCTGCATATCTCAAGGAACAAACAAACAAGTAAACAAATAAATATATTCTAGGTAAGACCCCAAGCATGATAAGTTTTGGCAACATATGGATATAAAGGTTGAATATTCCACTGCAGTGGCTGCGGCTCACCTGGAAGATGGCGATCCAGGCATAGCCTATGTTGTCAAAGTTGATGGCGCCCTTGAATGGGTTAACGTCGCCGGCGGAGCAGTTAGTGTAGTAGCGGTTCCAGTTAACACAGGTGGTGTTGTCTGTGTTGTTGTAGGCCGTGTGGTCCAGCTGGCACTGCACACCCTCCTCGTGCAGTGTGGGGACCGAGCTGCAGAGGCGCATGCCGTTCTCACGCGGCTGCGAGCAGATGAATGGGTTCTCGTCGTCATTCTCTGTGTGGTAGTAGCTGTACAGGTCCAGAGACAAGGGGCTGGGGGGGCGGGGGGGTCACACATGCATTCATGATTCTGTGACACTGTAACACCAAATATCGCCATTAAACATGAGATATTATGTAACTGCCCAAACTTACAATCCATTCATAAATAAATCATGCTACTAAAGCAAAACTGGGGGAAAATTAAGTACAAATATAAGCCTCCTTGGCACTCTGGTTTCTTAAATGATAAGACACTCTGTGAGTTCTGCACATAGAAAAACTACAGCCGCAAATTTAGTTTGTCCTGCACACCGCTACTGTTCGAACAAGCCCTGGGCTTTGGACCTTGGTTTTAACATCATGCCAACCTGACAGCAGAAAAAAATCACTGCTGACTGCAGCAGAGAGCCCCGGCGTGGTCTCTCTCTAATGGCACACGTCCCTGACTGACGATAATTGGGGTGTCTGTCAACACAGATTCTATTCACTGCGAAAGTGACTCACTGAATTAACTCTTATAAGTCACTAAGCACATGAGGGTCTTCTATGGCCCACTGGCCCTAATCTCTCAAAAAACTGTGACAAACATCAGAAAATATGCACTTAATAATACCTTAATAATATCTGTTTTGATTTTTCATGCTGTATTCCACTTCTTCATTCCATATCAGATTTTATTCAGATCATCACAATTTCTGATCACTTCTTATGCAAAGCAATTATTATGATAATCAAGATCATTAATTCATTCATCTAGTTTCTTATGTTCACTGTGCCCATCAGCAGAGTTTTTTCGGCTCACTCCCTCCAGTTTGAGAAAAGTGACAAGAAACAATACGCCTCACATTGCATTATTGCTAGAATGACCTCCCTATACCTGTGTTGACTGTAAGAGTTTGTTTCATTTACCAGTTACCTTGACTTGCCATAAAAATTCTTGCTTCAGGGTCAGGATGAAGCTGGAAAGTTCCTATCTTGTTATTTTAAGGACTGACAGCATAGTCTGAAATGCCTCTTCAGTGCTCACAGGGCACCTGCTCCACTAATTGAAATACATACGCCTGTGGCAGGAAATACTCTAGTAGTTAATGTAAGGTAGTCTAGGCTGCTCTTGCAGGAAGTAACTAAAGCTGATACATTGTATACAGGTAAAATCAGGTGAAATGCATCAGGTGGATAAGTAAATGTACTCCAGGATTGAATATGGCTGTACTACACCCAGTCCTGGTTTCGTTGTCACTTACAGGGTGAAGTTCTCTGGGAGGAAGCAGCGGTTCCGTAACAGCCCGGCCCACAGCTGCACCCCCACAATGCCGAAGATGAAGAAGACGAAGAAACAAAGCAGCAGAACGTTGCCGAGCATGGGCAGAGTGTCCAGCAGCAATGTCACGAGGATCCGCATGCCTGCAGAAAGGATACCCCAATGATGGCCCTTTCTCCATGCAGCCATGTCTTTATACCCACACGCGAGAAAAAACAAACTGCTCTTAATGCAACAAAGGAGTAATGAGATGTTTCTTGATTTTTATGCTCGACTGGAATCCACATCATACCTTCTTAATGCTGGAAAAGCTTCCATAAGCCTCAAATCTATCCTGGCAACCATGAACTAGAGTGACGCATACACACACCCACATAAACGCACAAACGTGCACAAAAGAGGAAATGTCCTCCAGTCAAATATGAGTCGATGTATAATATCACTCATGTTATGATTCCTCACAGGATCTTACAGTCCTACGCACAGATATCGCACACCTGTTCGTGGGGTTAATGATACATTCAGCAATGCATACTGCTTTAGCTGGGGCAGGGTAATGTTCCACAAAAGTACCATCAGAGCCATTTGAGTGGGGAACCGGTTACCTCGATCTAAATAACCGACATTACCTTGCCGGCCAAATGTTCAGAGTACAATAATTGGTGCAGAATCCCAACAGAATGGCTGGCAGCACTGTGCCGTACTCTGACAACCTAAGCGATACAGTCTTCACATTCTGAGGAAGGACTGATAAGGGGGGAAGCTCTATCACCGGAGGTAGATACTTAATGAAGAATCTGTTTCCCGAGATATAAATTATCCCAGTGACTGCAGTGTGTTCTTCTCCAAATATTTCCTATGACAAGCCCCTTTGCCAAGTGTGTGAACTACATGTTTAGAAATGTAAAATGACTCATTTCCATAAATTAAAAAGGTGACTGAATGGATTTTTTTGTTGACTAATACTCAAATTAGAATTCTAATTAATTCCGTTTCAAAATCAGTTCATTCCCTTAATAACTGAACTGCCATATACTGTATATACTCATAATAATCTCAGCGACAGCCAGACTTTACAACGTAATAATACGGCTCTTGTGACTGAAAACAAGCAAATTTACAGGTAAGATTTATTTCCGAAAAGAGAAATGGGAGCACACTAAAGGCTGGGAAATTAGATAAATGTGACAGAAAGGCATCTGAAAAATGTGTACCTGTAAATGAAATCGTTTTAGCCAGCTAAAGACACATTTGGTGGGATTTTAAAGCTTTAAATCTCAGGAGGCATCCGGCTGCTGAATCTTGGAATATGTAGGTCACAATGGATACAAGGGTTACCTGATTTAGCTACATTTAGCGCTTAAGGATGCCTCTTGATTTGGGAGATCAAGGTCTGTCTCTCACCGCAGGCTGTCCTTCGGGAGTTACTAGAGTTACTAGAGGTCAAAAGCCCGAAATGAACTGAATTTTTACAACCATGGAATTGAGAACTGGACGGCATTATCAGTGTTTAGACCATAAATTGCCTCATGGGAACTGGTGGTGGTGGTGGTGGGGGGGGGGGTCCACATTTAGGGAGTGGTGCAGATATAAAATAGCATCCCATAAGAAACCTACTGGTGATGTAATTAAAGCTGTAGAGATGGGGGTTCAGTTTGGACCACACATTGTCTTCAGGAGAGTAGCTACAATATAAAAAGCAATTCCACTGCTGTTTTCTGTGAACCCAAAACTCAGAAACACCTAGAAACAAATCAGTTGTCACTTGGCACTGTCATGTATGTGCAGATAAATCAAATAAAGCAAGTTTTATTGTGCAGAAAAAAAGAAATAGGTGTGTGCATCTGCACTGCTGCTGAAGTTGATCAATTGTTATTTTTTGGCTACTATTTATTACTATTTAGCTGTTCAAGGACTGCAGCACTGGCTGGGAAGCCCATCTACCTACTTTTGAATGGGTATATCGCTAAATAACATCATGTGACTGAAAAGCAAGCCACTTACAGTACACTTACAGTACAATGGACTTATCAGATCACCAAGACTTAGATTATTGGATGATTCATGTCTACCAAAAAACATCACAGTATACAGAGAGTCTCACCACGATGAAAATTGTCACAGTAGTTAGATTCAGACAGGTTTTTCATTTGATGGATTTATCAGCTCCTGCGTTTTCACTCCTTACAGTGAAATACTGTGGGCAAACTCAGCAAAAGATTTCTAATTAATCCATTTGATTATTATTTTGGCCAAGGAGCACGTACAAAACATTTTAAGTTGGGCAGCTGCAAATCATATTTTAAGCCAATAAATATTTCAGGCAAGATACAGTAAAAGCACTCTGTGCCCTGCGAGTTTCAGACTTTCAGTTGCAGTCTAGTAAAGCTTGATCACTTTCAGTCAGAGTAGCACAATCTGTCCCTGTAACCCTCGAGAGCTCATACTAGCAGATGGAAACACCGAACTAAAATCCACAGAATGCCATTTCATATGAAAGTTGTATTGTTTTTAATTCAAATGAAACCAAAATGAAAACCAAAATAGTGATCTCTCAAAATAAACCAAATTCAGCAAAAACAAAAAAAAGTGTTAGTCAGGGGCTAAAAATCAGAGGCTAAGTGAATTATACCTGTTTTTTTTCTTTTTTTAAGGGAGATTGGCACTGGGGCTAAAATACTCAGGGCTAGGCTTTAAAATACTCGGGGCTAGGCTTTAAAATACTCGGGGCTAGGCTTAAAATACTCGGGGCTATAACCCCAAGTGATTGGACCTAACAATGCTCATGTGTTAGCCTATAAAATATCTTAAAGTTAAGAAATGCATTGGTGCCCACTCATAGCTACCAGTTCGCAAAATAGTTGTACTTAAATGACTTTGCTTTGTGAAACTGGATCTGCTTTTAGCGGGACTAACCCACTCTACGTTCACAGGGTTCTGCGCGGACTGGACCTAGACTGAGGGATGTGCTCTTGGCTCCTTCCTCAGGAGGTGACCACACCGCACCTTCAGCCACCGCTCAGGACCACAGCCTTCAACAGACTGAGGAGTCCAGCCCCATCTGTTCCACAGCTGAGCTTTTAATTTATTATGCTTCATTGGTGATTGACTTAATCGCTTAAAATTTAGATTTCATGATGATTTTAATTGAAATCACATTAAGCTAAACCTGTTAGCTGGAGACACACTTTCATTTTTCAATACTGCTGAACAAATTTGTTGGTTAAATTAATTGTACCCTTGAAATAAATGACTACATGATTCTAAATGTATTTAGTTTCCCCATTTGCATTGTTCATTATTAATTTTGAATTATCCCGTGTTTATTTTTTGGAACACTTACGCAACACATGGAATTTCATTAAATGAAAGTTTATAAATATGTTTTCGTAACACCGGCATTCCCATTCCCATCCAGGGTGTCCCCCTATCTTGTGCCCTGTGCTGCCTGGAATCGACTCCAGTCCCCTGCGGTCCAGTAATGAAAGATGGATGGATGCTTGGATACCGATGGATGTTGCCATAAATTCTGAAAGAAGCATAAAGCCTTTGATGCATTCAATTAATAGTTCAATCATGCAAAGTAAATTAAAAACTCAGTTGGTCTGAAACAAGGTTAGGCCACGTGCCAGAAAGACCGAGTTTGGATAATATAGACTTAGAGGACTGTATTGGACATGTGCACTGCTGTGTAACAAGAGAGATCATTTACCAGATGAGACGGAAATAAAGGGTACAGCAATCACAGCTAAAGATACTTCTCGAGTTTTGACAACAATAATGTACACATGGCATACTTAGTCATTCCTCTGCCATAAACTCTGAAAAAATAAAGGGCAGCTAATATTGATCCAAATGCAGTTATTTAAATCTGACAGTTCATTATAGTCCCCTGTGACGACTTTTTCCCTCGTGAAAGAGTACATTTCGAGATAAGAAACTTGATTACCACAATTCTATCTTACAATCAGCAAATATTATTAAAACTCTATATATGAACAACAAAGAATCAATTTCCATCTGTAGCCTCACTACTGCTGAAGCGCAAAGTAACGTGTAGCCTTTGCAGTTCCATAACACAGGTCAATAAGCCACAGCAAACTAAGGATAACATTCCTCTGACTGCCAATATTTTGCAATAAAATCAATATTTACAAAAGGGGACAGAGTAAAAGGCTCATCTAGAATCCCCTCAGAGATGAAAGAGCGTTGGATTTTTGACATACTGTAGACTGTACTAATGATCATTTATTGATTACCTTTCTCTCCATCATATTGTATACTAAGCATTTTTCAGTATCAAAGCATCTCCTATTTTATATATAATAACCTTTTCATTTAATTCTTTTTCACTCCTGGTCTTTCTTCACCTCACACCTAAGCTCTTGTCACTTCTTACTCTCAGACATGAGATCTAGGCCAGTTTTTCTGCTAGAAGACATTGGTGACAGTCAACATGTCCAGGAAGATTTCAATGTCCCGGACAAATGTGAGAAATTCTAGTGAAATATTATTTGTGCTTACTACTGAGCTTGATAGGCAGACTATGTAAAGAATGACGTCATCAAGGCATGTAGATTGTTTTACTGAAAAGTAGGCTATTTCAAATAAAACAAGTCCTGCCTATAGACTTGCGTGTATAACGCGAAAATAAATAAATATTATGCAAGCTCACGTTTTAACACGTAAACACAAAGAATTTCGTTCAGCTTCTGGTCTGCATATTCTCAGATAAAATAAAGCAGGATAAAAACTATTTGCAAACAAACCAATAAACTATATATATATAAACCTATCTGGCTATAACATTTTAATTATAGGGTGCTGCTGCCAATTTGAAATCAAATAATTTCCTTTTGCTACAGGGTAACGGCATCAGCGGTTTCTGTGACTTCACACTGTATCTGAGATTCATCATCATTGTCATTAGACCTGCTTGGTTTCACAAAATACTTTTTAAGGTTTGCTTATTTGGCCATGTCTGATCTCTCTCGCTCATTACTGTTTGCTGTTATGGTGCGCGTGCTTCATCAGAGTAAATTAAATAAATAACGCTCGTTTCATTCTACATGTAGGCAAGCCTATAGCTCACACCAGGGGTCTTCCACTCCGATCCTGGAGAGCCATTCTATTCTATTCTCCCTGGCTTCTGGTGAGTCGCAATTGTTCCTGGTATTTACCTGAGAACAGGTGTGGCTCATCAGAAGCCGGGTAGGATAGAAAATCTACTGGACGGTAGCTCTCCAGGATCGGCGTTGGAGACCCCTGGTCTACACATTCATCATTTTTTAAATAGGAGGATATGTGGAAGTTTAATTCTAGGCCATTTTAATACTATTCAAATTGCTTAGAGGGAATTATTTTCACTGGACTTTATGACAGGAGAGATTTAAATCTGTCAGACTTCAACAGATTCCCCCAGTCAAACTGTTACTGGATAACGGAAACTATTATTCCAGGCTGTACAACACACCTAACCACTGCACCTGCGTCTGTATCCCACTGTCTGTGTCCCAGTGTCGTTAAGCAGGCCTCCCGCACTGCACTTCTCCTTCAGCATCGACATCTGCAGTTACAATTATGCTGGGTATTCCAGGAAAGAAGACAGGCGAATTATCCCAGGGGCTGCTCTCCAGCCATGATCTCATTTGTCATTTGAAACAATAAATGGATTTTAAAAACTGCAGCCGTGTTAGGGGAAGAGGTTTTTGATTAACCTGCTCCCAGTGCTAAGCACAGAAGAAGTGGTCAGGCTGTATGCCTCTCTGGGGATAAGGACCTGAGTGGCCTGCTGATCCAGATACTGTAGAAATCTGTCGTGATGACCTCAAGCTACCAATTAACCTGAAAATAGCCAGCAGCCAGAAAGGTGATAAAGGAACTGTACTTGTGCACAAGGTTGTCATTTATAGTTCCAGAAGGAGCACTATATGTTGTACACTTAAGCTAGGTGCTTAATCTGAGTGGCTTCCATAAATGATATCCAGCTATACAAATGGATTTTAGAAAATGTCTGCCAAACCAATGAATCATGCGAAATGACACCCGGCTGCCATAAAATTAAGAAAGTAACACTAAGCTAATGTTAACAATTGCTAAGAGGTAACAATTTCAGCATTTTTTTCTTTTTTTTTTTACTAAAGATACTATCTTTGTCATTCATAATTATTGCAATAATTGGCACAAACCAGACAGAGTGATGCATTCCCAATACAATATGCACCTAACAAGGAGAGGGCATATCAAGTCATTTTTTTTAAGGAGAATGGAAGGTTGCAACATATTCCGGTTTTTCTTTTTATACAGAGGTGATGACCCTGCAACGTGCAGCGAGTGGTTAAATCATATGTACAGTCTTTGTTTACATCTTTGGGTCACACAGGGCCAAACTCTGGCGAACAGCCAGCGCTTACACAGTCCCGGAAGCTGAAGCCAGTTGTTACTAAAGGCTCAAGCCTCCTGTCAAGCGACCAGGACCCCGCCGGGCTTTATTAAATGACTTGATGATTAATGCCACCATTTTGCATCTGAACGCATCGCCACATCTTGATTAGCTAGTAGAGGAAAAAAAAAAAAAGACAAATAACACCCACCCGGAACGCACAGAAAAAGAAAGACATTTCACAGCATGCAAAGAACAGATAAAACAATTTCCAAATTAATTCTTCGATTAAGAGTATAATTAGACAGAGTGGCTCCTCAATGAGCAATGGGTCTGTCTGACCCTAGCCCCCCCTTAATACCCCAGCACCCCCCTGTGGTTTAGATTGGGTTGAATGGTAATTACAGAGAGTGGTTGTGGATGAAGGATCCCAGGCAGACCTGCCTGGGCCCTCCGTCCCCTGCTCTGCATCCACACTGAGAATGATTATGAGGCCACTTCCTGGCTGAAGACGGCCATTCGCAGGGCAATGGGGAGACACCCACCGTTTATTAGACGTTTAATTTGTCTTGATTAATCTTCAAACTAAGCGATAAACCCCTTGTGCATTACATGCGTCAGGAGATAAAAAAATAGAGCTCTAAGTAAATGAATAAAGGGCCTGCAGGTGTAATGAAAACAGTAATAGCCTGACTGTGGTTAATGAAAGATGTGCTGTTGTTACCCGGGAACCTAAGTGAAACAAATAAAGATGTAAATAATGGCGTTATTTAAATGGGAGATTGGTTTAAGAAAGGAAAAACACACAAATCACCCCCAGCAAAGTCCCAGCGGAATCCTACATGGACAGCTCACTCTGTTTGCAGATTTTTCTCTTCTTTCTCACTCTAACCCTAATCCTAACTTCACCGAAAGGTAGGATGAGTCACCGATAATCCATCTGAAGGTACAGAAGAATGAGATCTGACTTTTTGCTCTGGATGACTGAACATCAACATCTTCCATAACTGTCTTTTTTTGCAGATTTATTTTAGACTGGACTGGAAGCAGTGAACAGGAACAATGGGCAAAAGTGGGCAAAAGTGAGCAGATGGAGATGGGGACAGTCCCAATGAACAGGACCCCTATTTCTAACAGAGGAAGAGCAGATCTCAAGTACAAACATTACACATCAGAAACCCAGAAGAAAGCAAACTAAAGCAAGCCAGCCACCAGCAAGACACATGTTGAACATAAATTACTTCTGCAATTGTCTACTATGCTACATTACTCCCAACCTGAAAACTAGAGGTAAAGACATGCTAATGCTTGATGCTTCTATATATAGTAGTACTTTTTTGCGGTCTTGGTCTCGTCTCAGAATCGACTTTGTTTTGATTCGGTCTTGTCTCGGTCTCGGACATAGAGGACTTGAAGACCAGGCAAGACCACTCACCAAAATACATCAATATTGATCACAAATTTCACTTTAGCAATCACAGCGAATATAGGCAGAAAAACTATAGCAATAAACATTCAGCATTAGACTTCAAATTCATTTGTTATGTCTGTGTTTAACCAGTGGATCTTAAACTAACGTATGCTTTCCTATTTCAATTTCTATCAGATGTTATAAAGTAATGAATATATATATATATATATATATATATATATATATATATATATATATATATATATATATAATCATGCATTGCTACTTATTAGATAACTTCAACAAGTTACCAAATGGATGCATGATCAAAGATATTGATTTCTGCCTGGCACTAACCATATATTCCTTCACAATATGAAGTCACAGAAAGCTCCCCAATGAAACCCCTGCATTCTCACATAACAGAGACTCTAATCTCAACATTTATAAGATGGTATTTGTAGTGTCTGCAAATTTTTATATTAGGTGAGACTAAAAGGCGCAAGTAGTTTTTTCTCACAAAAAGGATGATATCAAGAATATGTCAGCATTTACACATCAAAATGTGACATATCTGAGTAGCCCAGAATGTCCTGAAGACAAAACCATAAAGCACATGTGACTAACTCACATACATACAATTTAATAAGCCTAAACTCAAAGGGATAGAATACCACTCAAAATGGATGGGGTTCAAAGGGTTAATACAGTACTGTGACTCAAAGTTCAAATGCAACCAATAAGGTGCATCTTATTTTAAAAAAATGTCACATTTGTACAGAAGCATTATATTGAAATTTTAAGAAAAAAGTCCCTGGTTCAAATTATGTGTCTACAGAGCGTAATGTGAGTCAATCGATCAAAAGTCCATAATTAAATCAAAAGTAACAGCAAAACATTTCAGGTAACAGATGAACCTTGGACCTTTTAAAAAGTTATTGGCAAGTCAAAGACAACAACATTACATTAATAACAAGAAACAAGACAAGCCAGACTGTTCTGATGGTGATGGTGATAATGAGATTTAAAGATGGCTATGGGTACGATGGAGGAACATGGTTCTGATACTCACTGGGCACCCGGTTGATGGCTCGGAGGGGCCGAAGCACCCTGACAGTGCGGACGGCAGAGAAGCTGACGTTCTGAAGGTTGAGGGAGTACTCCAGCATGCTGTCACAGACACACAGGGACACCGTGTTAGCATCAAAGCTTCGCATTTCCCAGCTTGGCCACGCCCCACCTAAACTGCCATCCATAGACTTACTGAGAACATTCTAAATCAATGGAAAAACACAGTGGTAACACCAGTTTTCTTCATTAGAAACCACAGCAGCATTGGTAGCTATATAATGTCCTCCAGAATTAAGGTAAGGCTACAGCTAGTTAACAGTGTGGCATTTTGGGTCAGTAACAAATGATTGTGGGAGACAGTTATACCCAATAAGTCATTTGGAGCGACCATCTCACAGGAATTTCAAGTTGTATATACTATTACTAAAGCTAGCTGTCAAGAGCACATGTAGAGAGTAGATGTGAAATGTGGTGCCTTTCCACTGGCATACAGAAACCAAGCCGTACCTGACCCATATCATGAAGAGACAATAGTTACGTGTGGTTCCACCTCGCTTTGATTTTCCACTGCAGAAGGGTCGGCTTGGTAAAAGTGTTGGCAGGTTTGGAGAGTGACAGTAACGTAAAACCAAAGAGATGCTTATTTACTATTCACACGGCGCACATCATGATTTATTATGGGCTAATTTCCGCTAGCATGTCTGTGAGCGTCGACGTATTATGTCAGCATCAAATTGTTAACAAAATGAGCATTAGCTTACTTTAGTTTGCATTATGAGTCCATTCCATTCAGCAGTTCTTTAGTACTTTTTAAAGTAGGAGGTTGGAAATTTTCAAGCTCCGAGTTATTGGAAATGCATCAATAATCAGGGTATAATGAATAATATATAGAATATGCCCTCTTTTTCTTCAAATAATCCATGTATATTAAGACAGATCACTGGTATCTCCGTGCATTTCAAGCAATCAGACGGTGGTGACACAACCAGCTCGGACTGGTCATTCTTTTGGCCCTGCTAGTAAGCAGGGTCATGTCAGCGCAGATACGCCTTGGATATAGCTTGCATAACTTACAATGGAACACCATCTCTGGAGAACTTTAAGGACACTTGAGTAATGTTTTATTTTCAGTAGTATTGTCCACTTTACTTTTTTCTTATTTTTCCCAGAACAAGACGGCAAACATTACTACAAAATCTAAATGCCACCTGGTGAGTCAAGCAGCTGAATCTGAGACATCCCAGAGCTCTTGAGTGTTGTGGTCTGATGCTGGAGATTAATGATAAAAGCATTAAAACCACACTTATGCGTTACGCCTGTCAGTTCCAATGGGGAATTTAAACGATTTTACAGTAAATATTCAGAAATAATAAAAGGCGATAAATGCAGTCAAAAGTTACACAGGTTTAAATTTTTGACAAATTGTGCACTTTTTCTTACCACTTTGTTTTTATGCATAAAATGAGACACAGTACTTGAGCCTAACAAAGAACAGCCTTCATAGGGCTCTGTGCCTGTATCCAGAAGGTTGTGGGTTCAAATCTAGCACAGTAATCATATCAATGTTAGGCCTTTAAGCAAGGCCCTTGCGTACTCCAAGGACCCTGTCTGACCCTACCCACTGACTGCATGCTTTCTCTGCTCCATAAAAACAAAAATTAATGCAATTTAACAGAAAGTATTGTCATATTCATACAGTGAGTTTTTCTTGTTACCCCAACACACACACACATGCATACCAGGATACACACTTAAGATCCCCTATCTGTCTGTCTGTCTACCTACTTACCTATCGATCTATCTGGTGGCTTTTTGCACAATATGTGTAGCTTTAACTGGTGCTTTTTTCCAGCATAAGCTAAAAAGAAGACTGCAAGCGTGCTGGTATTTTGCTGTTGGCTTTGAAGTGATCTCTTATGAGTCTCGAAACACTGCTCGGCTGGGAGCTACGCAGGGCTACCAGGGGTAGAGGCATAGCCCGCTAGCGCGTCAGCCGCCCTGACCAGCGCTCCCCAGGCACGGGGCCCCAGCTCCGTAGCTCCCAGGGGAAATTCCCCACTCAGCCAGCCTTTGTGCGCAACATCCAAATTGCACTTGTTTGTTTGTTTTTTCCCCCCTTCTCTCATCTCCCTTAGCTCCCCACAGCTGCGGCACACATGGCTAGCGGATGGAGTTCCCTGCTTTGTGCAGCCCTGCCTTTTATATATGAGTTACGCATGTGCGCTGTGCGCATGTGGGCTGCGTGGGGGTGTGTGAGGGGAGACACGGTCGGTGGGCGGCCGCGGTGTGGTGGCCGCGGTACAAACTCCGTAAACTTTACTTATTAAAGGGGAGGGCGCGAAGACCAGACGATCTTGAAAGGCACAACGAGAAAGCCTGCATCGCCAGAGAACCAGGCAGGAACTGTAATTGGTGCCAGTTTAGAATATTTTTTCATGGAAAAAAGTATGGAAATGACTGTACCTTGGCAAGCATGCCCCATAAAGTTTGGGATATCTTTACGACCGTACATGAAAAATTGATGAAAATTATGAAGGCAGCTGAATATATTTATTGTTCTTTTGTTCTTTTTTTCTTTCTCTCGCAAGTACTAATATACTTTTTTTTCCCCTTACAGCCCCCCCATCACCCCC